TCATCCTTGCCTTCTTACTTTGTTTTCTGTATGTTCATGGACAGATGCCCATATGCATGTATACATACACATTGATGGGTTTCCTTTGAAGTTAAGAGAACAATTGATTTCTTTGCAAGGCAGAAGGATGGAAAACACTCAACTTCAAGGTCAAGTTCTTGTCAATCTCTTCAATCTTCCAAATTTGCAGATTGTGTGAGTATCAGCTTCACTTCATGCACTACCATTCCTAGTCCTAGAGGTTCACAACACTAGTTAAACATATCCTATTGATCCAAACTGTGGAGATGATAGCTAAAGGCTAATTGTTTCTATATTTGTCACATTGTACCGGGGTCTAAAAGGCAACTAGCTAAATGGCACCTTGGATATAACCAAGGGATTTAGCAGCCAGCCGAGCCTTATAAATTTGCAAAATAATGAAATTACTAAGTTCAATGGAATAGAAGGATCCAAAATTCAGATAATGTGAGAGAATGAAATTTATATGTATCTATTGAGAAATGAATGGTAGATTTACTAGTATGAAATGAATATTTGTTGTATTTGAAATGGAATGCATGTTTTCTGCAAAATTTTTTTAGATGAACCCTAGTTTCCTCATGTTGTTTGCACGTTTGATCTTCCTTTTGTTTATTTTCATGCTCAGATTGTGTTTCTGGATTGGACAACTCGACCCAGTCCAGTAAAAAACAAAACTAAAACAAAAAAGGTAAAAAAAATATAATATAAATAAAAAAGATTAATTAATTAGGATAATTAATTCAGTTTATAATTAATAAAATTAATTAACTTTAATTAAAATAAATTAATCATTTTTATTGATCTTAGTTTAAGATGATTATATTACTTAATTATCTTGATTAAAGATTTATAAATATGATTAATTAATTTTAATTAATTTTAATTAATGTTAAATTAATCATTCAATTAAATTAATTATCTTAGTTAATTAATTTAAATCCTTAATTTCCTTTAATCTTGGTCAAAGTCAAAATTACCTTTATTTATTTCAATTTTCACCCAAACTTTCATGTGTAAGCAATTTAGCCCTAGGTTTCAAATCTTTTCAAGTCGTCCTCCATGTTTTCGAGTTTAATCAAATCAGTCCATTTGATTTTTTTTTACTTGTCCTCATGGTGTATGCATGTCTTTGATTTTGTCTATTTTAGTCCAAAAGTTTAAAAGATGTTACAATTTGGTCCATCTATTTTTTAAGCTTGCTTATTAAGACTTAAATACAAACATAATGAATAAGTTGAATCAAAACCCCAATATTAAAGTATGCAACCATGTTTAAACGGAGGATTGTGAGGTGCGCGTATGCCCTTTCTCACGCCTAACCGAACCCCTAAACCCCAATCTCTGCGCAGACTCGTTTTAGGTAACTTGTCCCACCTTACAATTTGGACTAATGGCGACTCCTTTTCTTTTATATTTTTACACTTAATTTTTCATTTATTTTGAGAAATTCTAAGTATCGTCAACACCGGTGCACTCTTTTCAGCAACATCAGTCATGTCGATGAAAGTGTCAGTAAAAATGGTTACTGGAATTCTCCTCCCATATGGTGCACTCTTTTCAACAACATCAGTCACGCCGATGAAAGTATGGCTTATGTCAATAAATATCATTGGCAGAAGTGGGAACTTGAATTTTTGCCCCTTTTCAGCAACATGGGACACGTTGCTGATAGTTTCATGAATAGTATAGCATCCTATTTTTAACAACATGATCCTTGTTGTTGATAATCTAAGGAATATGTAAGCCCCCTACTTTCAGCAACAAGACTCTTGTTGCTGATAATCCATGGAATAGTTGCTTCACTTCTTTCAGCAACATGTTCCTTGCTGTTGATTGTGTTGAAAAAACCCAACTCATCTCAATTAGCAAGATGTTTCATGTCGGTGATACTCAAATGCCAATTTTAAAAATTATTTTATTGACAAGTGGTATGGTTCTATCTTATTTTTTCTTAAAAATTAATCAATGTTTTTTGCAGGGCTCTTTGGTCCAGCAATAACAAGTGTAAGGAATGTGAATTTAGGTCGCATGCACATTTCAAGAGGAAGATTATAAACGATGATGAAAATAGACCAACAGGAATATGATGTCGAAGAATGACTCCACGAGTTGAACTCGTCTGTCGCAAGACCAAGATGGACATGTCGCAAGACCAAGATGGACATTTTGCGAATCACATCCGAAGGATGAACTTCATCAAAGTGCTTCCAAGCAGCAGACTAAGCAAGATGAATGAGGACCTCTGAGTCAGCACGACATTTAAGGTGCCATGTCATATGCTCAGCAGTTTTACGAGACATATACAGCCTCTATAGTCGTGGAATTATAGGTAGATAGCACAAAGATTTCCTTGCCCTATCTTTTTTTTGAGTTTGAGCAAGGTTGCGTGTTTCATACCTAGGTTTAGCACAAACTGGACAAGCAATAAGTGATGGTACTTTTTGTTGGTCTTCAGGACTTAACAATTGCCTACAGCCATGAATGATCTCATTGAACCCAACACCGGTTATGTTATTTTTGGATTTGGTGTGCAACATATACGTTAACGAACCAAGCAATGTTTGATTATTAGATGATGGTCCGATGGATGGATTAAAGCACGCAACAAGTCATAATGTTTGATTATTAGATGATGGTCCAACTGAGATGGTTGAAGCACACAGCAAGTCATAAAAAGTTTGTGCATGTCTATTCGGCTCATCCCCAACAGTTTCACCTGGAAACTCGGTTTCATTCATTGGGTGATAGTTTTCAAATGGACAAAATGCGTCATAAACCATGTGACAGAAATCATCCTCAACGTTAACATGTTCCTCTGTATTACTTGAGGATGTCACATCACATACGGTAGACGATGGATCGGCATTGCTACTTAATGTTTCACCATGTGCCCACTAAATAGAATATGCATCCATGGACCCATTATCCACAAGATGCTCCCTTATGATAACCTTGTTGTGGTGGGGTAAATTCCTACATTTACTACAAGGGCAATGGATTTTGGCATTCGGGTTCACACCGAGACGACTGTATACAAAATCAAAAAATTGATCCAATCCATTAAAGAATTCATCATTGCAATCTCCACCAAAACCTCGTCGTCTATACATCCAACGACGATTATTTGTCATCTTTAATTGAATAAGAAAATAGAGATATTAATGTCATAACCCAATTTTTAAATTGAAATTTTTATTTTTATTTTAGTTTTTATCTTAATTAAGGTTAAATGTTAAATTTGGTCCCTCAACTTTATTGAGTTGCACTTTTTTGGTCCCCCAATAATTTTTTGCACTTTTTTGATCTCTCAACTCTAAGAAATGCACAACGTTAGTCCTCCCATCAATTTGAGCCGTTAACTCCGCCCATGTGGCATTTTTTATATTTTTTTGATGATATGGATAATCCAACTGGAAAAAATGATGACGTGGATCATCCAACTAGAAAAAATGATGACATGGAGATAATTTTTATATTTTTAATAAAAGAATAAGAAAACCTCTTCGACCTATCTTCTTCCTCCTCTCTCTTTCTCTTTCTTCTTCCTCCTATTGCTGCCTCTTTTGCTGACTGAACCCAGCAAAGCTAGTATCCACCAAACCTTCTCCCCCCTCTTTCTCTTCTTCCCCTCTTTCTTTCTCAAAACAAAATCAAAACCTTGAAAATTCTTACTACTTCAATCCAACTTAATGATCATATACCCACAAGAGAAATAGCAAAACCAAAACATACAAACAAAATTTTGCAGCATTCATAATACTAAATTACCATCCTACAACCACAATATTTGAAACAAAAATCCATCAAACAAAAAGGTTTAATATATGCATAGAAATTGCTAGAGTTAGAAAACCCAGAAATTCAAGTTCCTTGAACCCATATTGCTGGGTTCCATGGAACCCAGAACTAGGTTCGTTTAACTCAGATTGTTAGGTTCAAACGAATCCAGATCGCTGGGTTCCACGGAACCCAAAACTGGATCCATTTAACCCAGATCGCTAGGTTCCACAGAACCCAGATCTGGGTTTAAACGACCCCAAATCGGTGGGTTTTGTAGAACCCGGATCTGGGTTCAACGGAACCTAGAATTGGGTTCAACAAAACCCAGCATTCTGGGTTCAAACAAACCCAACATTCTGGGTTCAAATGAACCCAATAGTCGGAAGAGGAAGAAAGAAAGAGGGTGAAGAAGGTTTAGCAGGTCGCAGCAAGAGGATGAAGAAAAAGAAAGCAAGAGGGGGAATAAAAGAAACAGGGGGGAGGATCCTAGCTTGGCAAGGTTCGGTTAGCAGAGGAGGCAAGAGGAGGAGAAGGAAGAAAGAGAAAGAAAGAGGAGGAAGAAAATAAGTGGAGAGGTTTTTTTATTTTTTTATTAAAAATATAAAAATTTATCTTCATGTCATCATTTTTTTCTAATTAGACGATCCATGTCATCATTTTTTTCCTGTTGGATTATGCACATCATAAAAAAATATAAAAAATGCCACATGGATAGAGGTAACGATCAAATAGACGGAAGGACTAACGTTGTGCATTTTTTAGAGTTGAGGGATCAAAAAAGTGCAAAAAATTGTTGAGGGACCAAAAAATTGTTGAGGGACCAAATTTAGCATTTAATCCTTAATTAATATGTTTTATTTTTACTTTCATTGTTAGGTTTGCAAGCAAAGGGAAATTTCATGACAAAGTGGGAGAAGAAGAAAGAAAGGACTCAATTGAAGAAATCAAAAGCTGGGGGATGAAATCTTTTAAGTTATAAATCTAGCCCATTAAAACCAAAGCCAACCCAACACCAACCCATTTCAATTTAAAGCCTCAAACCCAAAAACCCAAAAAACCCAAGCCCACCAACTACCCAAAACCCATTTAACCCAAACAAACCCAAAAAAAAAACAAAAACCATTTAACCAGATTAAAAAACAAAAAAATTTAAATCTTTTGCTCTCCAGAACCTTCTTCTTCCTCCTCACCCTAACCTTTTCCCTTTTCTTCCCGAACCAACGCCGCTGCTTCTGTGCCCGGCCTTGCTCGACACCCTCCCGAACCAGCGTCCCTGCCTCCTGCACGCTGCGCCTGCGCCCCTGCTCCCTGCTCTGCGCCCAGATCCCGTGCACCCTTTGCGCTCCCTGCTAGCCATCACCAGCAATCATTCACGCCTACACCCCCCTTTGCACGTCTGCGCCCCTGCCGCTGCACCTACCCCCCTGCACCGAGCCTACGCCACTGCTGCTGCACCTTGCTGCGCCTCCTGCACTATGCGCCCCAATCCCGTGCCTTTGCACTCTTACTCGCTACAGCCATGTCATACCAGACAAATCGGCATCATTAGTGATTGACGGAGCAAGTTTTTTTTATTTATTTCATTTTATTTTTTTTATAAATCGGCATCATTAGTGATTGACGGAGCAAGTTTTTTTTATTTATTTCATTTTATTTTTTTTATTTGGGTATATATATAGAACAAAATCAGATTAGGAGGGGGTCTTTGGGTGGATTTTCGGGTTTGATATTTGGAAGTCTCCGTTGGATTTTCTTTGAGAGTAGTAAAGGGAAATTCCGAGGAGAATGGGGGTATGTGGTTGATTTTCGGAGTTGATTTGGGGAGTCTCTATCTGGTTCTTGAGAGCACTAAAGGGAGATACGTTGAGCTGCCGCCATTTCAAGATGCGATGCCAGAAAAGCAACCCGATGCTCCTCCATCAGTAGTCAGTTAATATTGTCTTATTTTCAGCAACCGTTTGGGATTCAATGGATCTTTTAAATAGGTGGTGATCCGAAGTAAGGCTGCAAAATTTCGTAACTCTGCAGAAACTTATGGAAGTGATGGAATAAAGTTGTGGACTATATGAAGATACATAGTTTTTAAGACCATATGGAATGTTTATTTACAATAATAAAGTGCAACTTGTGTTGTAGTAATTTGAAGGTCGGTATCTTTCAAGTTTTAATTGGGTAAGTTTAAGTTTTATATTAAATTTAAGTAATAATTTTTATCTAATTTAACATTGCATTGCAGATTGACTTTACAATTAATTAAAAGTTTTTGGGGGTGTATGTAGAGTGAATAAGATATCAAGTCCAATTTGAAAGCCATATGTATGATATGGATATGCAACCAGACCAGAAGGTGAGGGTCAAGGGAGGGCAATCATTAAACATTAATGGAATGAGTCAATAACACTGAGAATTGATTGGTGCAAGCAAGAGGAGTCCGTGGCTGCAATTGCAAACTGCGTTCTCAAGGTGGGAATGGGTCTTGTCTATGCAGCTTCACCCAGTGGCAGCTCCGTACCGTCACGGGGGCCTTGTTTCTATTTGGAGACTTCATCCACAGCGTCTTGGTTTCAGTAAGAGATAAGAAG